CCAGAAGGTGTGAGGACTTCGGCTTTCCCACGGCAAACAATTCCTGGGGCTCTGGCCCTTTTTCTGACCTCCCTGGAGTGAAGGGTATTCTTTCTGTCCCTGGAATCGGTACAGGAGGGTCATCTTCCCCAGAGTGGGTGGATTTCAAACTCTGAGGGATGCTGATGTTGATGGTGTGTGTGATTTGGTACCTGATACTGGTGGATCTGTTAGTTTGTGGGGTCTCTTTTTGTGTTTGTGTGTTTTAGAGCGCACTCCCTCCCCATGACTGGAACTCATCAAAGGAGCATCCTCTTTGTTATGTTTGGAGGAATAGTTACTGCCAAGCTTATTTCAGAGTAGCAGCCGTGTTAGTCTGTATTCGCAAAAAGAAAAGGAGTACTTGTGGCACCTGAGAAACTAACAAATTTATTTGAGCATAAGCTTTCGTGAGCTACAGCTCCGATGAAGTGAGCATGCATTTTTCAAGCACTCACATAAAAGAGCAAATGGGTTTTACATATGAAAAGATCATCTTGGCACACTGATAAAAGAATCCATAAAATGCATATACAAATGTTAGGGTTTGAAAAATGTGTGCACAGGCATGTGTGTATACCAGGGACAGATGAAGCCCCTTTAAAACCAGGCCCCTATTGTAGGTGTACTTTGCTGTTTGCCCAATTTCCAAAATGAAGGGCCAAATCCAGGGATCCAGCACGCAGCCCAAATGGTAGGTATCTCCATGTTAGGAAAAAGAGGAAAGAATGGAAAGAATCATTCCCCATACCAGTGTGACCAAAGCCCTAATATACTCTGCCTCAGGAGGTGGAGGTGGTGGTGGTAGTAAGATTGGAGGGAGCCATGCAGAAATGCATCCTCTTCCCCCATCCACCTTATGCTCATTCCCATGAAGGGAGTCCCCCTTAAAACCTGAACTTTATACTGTGCAGAGGGTGTGTACTCCATTGCAGAGCCCCTGGGCAGTGAAACTTCAAGGTTCCACTGCCAAGAGCAGCTGGATTTGTCTCAAAATATTATCTTGCAAGCATTTCCTGCCTCATGGCTCTCTGTCTTTAGAAAATGTATAGTGGATCTATTTTCAAAGGACTAAAAGTAGTTAACAGGATCTCTCAGTTAAGACTGAATTAAATTTGGTTCTTTTAGAATAGCATATAATTAAAAAAATAAGGGCATTTTCAGGCCAAATAATTTTTGGCAGATTAGTTTTACAATGCTACGTCATACCCTGATTTCGCAACTTACATCCATTGCTGCCAAACAGAGTAATGCTTCATTTAATCCGCACCCTTATATAATTTTGGCCGAGAGTACTTCCTTTACCCTGAAGGCACAGCAGTAATTATCCTAACATATACCAATTTCACATAAATATAAATGATGTTCTCTTGATAAAGTTTTTGGAATCTTCAAAGACTGCTGTTATTGTGCTCTGTATTTAGTGTAGTTTTCAGTCAAAGATTGTAATTAATATGCCTAGGAGTAACAAGAAAAAGAACACATAATAGAGGAACGTGCATACCCTTGATCTCAGTATAAACAAATACACCAAGCTACACTGAGCTGAACTAGAAAATGCGAACTATTCTGACATTTATATTTATAACATCTAATCAATCAGCCAGAGGAAACTGAATGAGCAACTTTTAAAAACAGAATAAATAGATTGTTCTCATTAGTAAAGTAACAGACACAAAAATAATTAACTTTATTCTTATTGTATGTCAAAACATTTTTGTGGTTAGATGAGTCTACTTATGAAGATCTTAGGTTTTCAAATTAAATATTATATAATTCATTTTTACTATTCCTTTTATACTTTGAAACACTTATAGTTATAATACTCCAGAGGTAGGGCCTGTATTCATGCCCTAACCTACGTCAGATCCTGGACCCCAATATAGCTATTTTGTGCTGCTCCAGTGGCCACAGAGCAGGCTTATTTGGCTCCCTAGAGACACTCGCTCTTGGTCATTCCCACTCATAGCCCCTGGGATCGGAGGCATGGCGGGGAAGAGGGGCGTAGTCAGAGCATTTGTACAGACAAATTCTTGGGAGCCATTAAAGCTGGATATAATTCAAAGAATCCCAGAGGCTGCTCTAAATTACACCAGGAGCTGATCCAGCCCTCAGCAGCTTCAATATCAGGGTACCATAAATAGAGCTGTCTGCAGTTGAGGATTAAATCCAGGTGTTTAATTCCCCCTGAAATCAATGAGAGTTTTGTGTACAAAAATTCTGCAGGATGTTGCCCCCAAAATGTAAATGGTATGGAAAAAAATGGTCTAGACATACACTAAAGGTGGGAAGTAGTATGTGGGCGGGGGGAGATTTTAAGAAAATTAAGTTTTCTTTTTGTTCAACATTTTCAGTTTTTTTCTTTTTGATGAAAAATTCAAAACAATTTTTTTTACTGAACCAAAAAATTTCATACATTTAGGGGATGGAGTGGGGTGTGTCTCCTTTCTCTTACTTCTTTTCCTGACAGGAAAAGTGAGAGAAAAGTAAAAATGTGAAATAAAATAACACTTCAACAAAGAGCCTGATCTTCAGCTGATGATATTAGCCTTTTAATAAGTGCTTGATGGCTCTACTCAATTCTTTTTATAAAAACATAAGAAAAAAAGACCTTTTTTTTGGAAGACACATCAAATTTCTTTCCCAAATCCTTTTTGAATGTATAGTTTAAAGTGACTTAGTGCAGTTGTACAGTTAAAATTAAAACCCAGTCTATGTAAAGAGTTGGACAAGGATATTATCTAAAATAGCTTGTAAATCAGGGGCAAATAAGCAACTGGAGTAATATTAACAAAAGCATAGAGACTAAAAAGGAAATATATGCTTACTAACATAATGTGATTCCTTTCTAACTAGCCTCTCTGATATCAGGGCTGTATTTATTTATGTTTAAACCCTGAAAAGGAAGAAGAGACAGAAAGACACCATGAAATCAAGTAGGGACTTCACCATTGCTACTGGTTTTATGTGGAAGGCGCTCACACACTACAGAGATGGTTATAAAAAACTCTAAGAGAGGATAAAATCGTGAGAGCTGGCAACACTGCAATAATCATCAAGGATTGTAAAATACATATTAGTTATGAATGGTAAGCATATTTGCATAGGTGTGGGATTTTGTAACAAAGCTTTTGCTTTCCCCCTACAAGAAAGAGAAAATTTGAGATTTCGTGGTTATTTAATCAATGCACATTGTAGGGAGAATGGTCACTTTGGATGAGCTATTACCAGCAGGATAGTGAGTTTGTGTGTGTGGTTTTTGGGAGGGGGGTGAGGGGGTGAGAGAACCTGGATTTGTGCAGGAAATGGCCCAACTTTATTATCATGCACATTGTGTAAAGAGTTGTCACTTTGGATGGGCTATCACCAGCAGGAGAGTGAATTTGTGTGGGGGGGTGGAGGGTGAGAAAACCTGGATTTGTGCTGGAAATGGCCCACCTGATGATCACTTTAGATAAGCTATTACCAGCAGGAGAGTGGGGTGGGAGGAGGTATTTTTTCATATTCTCTGTGTATAAATAAAGTCTGCTGCAGTTTCCACGGCATGCATCCGATGAAGTGAGCTGTAGCTCACGAAAGCTCATGCTCAAATAAATTGGTTAGTCTCTAAGGTGCCACAAGTACTCCGTTTCTTTTTGCGAATACAGACTAACACGGCTGTTACTCTGAAACCTGTAGAATCTGAATGTCCTTTTTTGGTATCCTTTATATCTGTAAGATTTTGACATTACCGTTTATCTGAGACCATAATAAAAATATATTTTAAGTAGTCCATCAAATATAATGGAGGGTTTAACGACAATTGTCAGCTCTGCTAATATCTTCAGAGAGAAAGAAAGACTCCTTTGAAGTTGCTTTCACTTTCTTTAGTTGGAAAACCCCTTGACTATCAGCTGTGTTAACTGAGAGAAACATTCTAATTGTTCTCATCTTTGCCAACATTTTTTTTTTTAAAATACAAGAACCATCACGTTCCTAACACAGATGTAATTTATTTTTAAAAGCAGGTTTAATCCATTGTTTTCAATGAAGTCAGTATTTTAGAGAAACTAGCTGGGCAGTATTTGCAGTCAAACAGTGATCTTTCACAAAACCAGTGTTAATTATTAGGCTAATTACTAATTGTAATTGGCCCAATTTTGATGTTCTTATATAGTCTTTGCTCAGCAAACCTCTGAACTCAATGGAAGGTACAGAATTCAATGGGGGATACCTGAGAATCTCAAGATTGGGCCCATTTTTTATTTTTAAAATTGTGCTATAGACATAAAAGGTATTTTAGAGGTCAATAGGACGGTGAAGTCTCTGTCCAGAGATGCTTACAATTTAAAATGAGATAGGTAAATAAAAACGATTAGGGAGTTAATTGTTCTCCAGGGAGTGAAAGTTTAAAAGCCAGGGGCATTGTTGTTTCTTTATTAGTTAGTTTTTAAAAAGTAATGACCAAGATAATGGGGAAGCATGAAAGACAGTACAAAGATGAGAACATTATAAGGAAATGAAGGGTGTGATTAAGAGGGAAGGGCTTGGATAGTACAAAGTGCAGGAAGGTGGGATGAGATAATATCAACACTGAAATGTGCGGAGGAGCAGAGTTGTGCAGAGTGAGGAAGGCAAATAAAAGGAGTCTGCACTTGACTGCAAAAGGCAAGCATTAAAGAAGTTCTTTAAAGTTTTCATGTACATCTAGCATAGATCATGGAATCTCTCTCCTATTACTCAACAAGGAAATTCCATTTACTCTGCACACAGCAAAGGCACAAGAACAATAAGGGGCTTTACTCCATTGCTACTCTGTGGATTTGGAGTTGGGGAAATTCCCTTCAATTCAGGCTACTTGCGCTTGGTGAGAACAGAATTTAGCCCTGAAAAAGCAGCTGCTTTAGTAGTGTGCACATCTTCTAGGGGCTCTTATAAAGAGTTTACCCTCAGCATTTTGGCAAACATGTTTAAGTGCATGGGTTTTTGTTTTTTTTTTAAAAAAAAAGATAATTCACAGGCCACTGGAATAGCCATCCATGAAAAAGTCAGAATTACTGTGCAACACACCTTAGTCCCCCAAAAGATTAGCATGATATGGCCAGATAAATCACAAATCAGAGAACTTAATCTGACTGACAAACTATGGGGAAGGAAGAAAGTCACAGCTAAAGTACAGGACAGGGAGTCAGGAAATCTATGTTCTTTTCCAGCGGTTCTCAAACTGTGGGTCCAGGACCCCAAAGTGAGTTGCGACCCTGTTTTAATGGGGTCACCAGGGCTGGCTTAGACTGGCCCAGGGCCAAAACCCTAGCCCCACTGCCCCTGACCAAAGCCCACGGGCTTCAGACCTGGGCAGCGGGGCTCAGGATACAGGCCTCCGGGCTTCGGCTTGCCCAGGCAGGGTAGTGGAGCTTGGGCAGGCTCAGGCTTCGGACCCCGCTTCTGGGGTCGTGTAGCAATTTTTGTTGTCAGAAAGGGGTAGCGGTGCAATGAAGTTTGAGAACCCCTGTTCTATTCCTATCTCTGACAAGCTTCCTGTTGAATGTAGGGAAATTGCTTAATCTCTCAGTGCCTCTGTTACCCCATCTGTAAAATGGAATCAGAGAATCAGAGGACTGGAAGGGACCACAAGAGGTCATCTAGTCCAGTCCCCTGCACTCATGGCAGGACTAAGTATTATCTAGACCAGTGGTTCCCAAACTTGTTCCGACACCTGTGCAGGGAAAGCCCCTGGCGGGCCGGGCCGGTTTGTTTACCTGCCGCATCCGCAGGTTCGTCCGATTGCGGCTCCCAGTGGCCACGGTTCACTGCTCCAGGCCAACCAGCCTGGCCCGCTAGGGGCTTTCCCTGCACAAGCGGCGGAACAAGTTTGGGAATGACTGATCTAGACCACCCTTGACAGGTGATTGACCAACCTACTCTTAAAAATCCCCAGTGATGGAGATTCCACCACATCCCTAGGCAATTTATTCCAATGCTTACCCACTCTGACAGTTAGGAAGTTTTTCCTAATGTCCAACCTAAACCTCCCTTGCTGCAATTTAAGCCCACTGTTTCTTGTCCCAGCCTCAGAGGTTAAGAAGCACATCTGTTCTTCCTCCTCCTTGTAACCACCTTTTATGTACTTGAAAACCGTTATGTCCCCTCTCAGACTTCTCTTCTCCAGACTAAACAAACCCAATTTTTCCTCAGAGGTCATGTTTTCCCCTTTAATAATGTTTGTTGCTCTTCTCTGGACTTTCTCCAATTTGTCCACATCTTTCCTGAAATGTGGTACCCAGAACTGGACACAATACTCCAGTTGAGGCCTAATCAGCGCAGGTGTTGAGCGGAAGAATTACTTCTCGTGTCTTGCTTACAACACTTCTACCAACACATCCCAGAATGATGTTCGCTTTTTTTGCAACAGTATTACACTGTTGACTCATTTAGCTTTTTGTCCACTATGACCCCCAGATCCCTTTCCGCAGTACTCCTTCCTAGGCAGTCATTTCTCATTTTGTATGTGTGCAACTGATTGTTCCTTCCTAAATGGAGCACTTTGCATTTGTCCTTATTGAATTTCATCCTATTTACTTCAGACCATTACTCCAGTTTGTCCCAATTTCCTCCAAAGCATTTGCAACCCCTCACACCTCGGTACTGTCCACAAACTTTATAAGTGTACTCTCTACGCCATTATGTAAATCACTGATGAAGATATTGAACAGAACCAGATCCAGAACTGATCCCTGTGGGACCCTACTTGTTATGGGAATAAGAACATTTACATATACCATATAGGCGCTGTGACATTTATTACGTTAGTGTTTGTGAAGATCCACAAATATTAAACATTACTTAGGAGTCAAGTACATTACATTATATGTGAGGACAGAGGAGAGAAACTCTCTAATACTGTATTTGCTGGCTGATCAACAGATGGATTACCTTTGAATGAGACCTTTCTATCTGGCCCTATGACTATCATATCCATGATACAGGTAAGGGACAAAAGACCGTAATCAAGGAAAGTCTCTAAAATGGTTACAAGGACAAAAATTATTATTATTATTATTATTGGTTTGAAATTTTTAGCAATGCATTGTCTGAGAATGTTTAACCTAAGATATGACACTAATTGCTTCTTTTTCAACTGTTATGCTCTGTTTAGGGAATCAGGAGCAATTTCACAAATTTAGCAATAGACATTCCACAAATTTTTGACCAATATGTGCAAGAAAGAGCTACTGCACAAAAGGAAATCCCCAATTAATGTAAAATAATAAAGAGAAGGAAAAAGTCTGTGACGGAAAAAAAACTGGCAAATACAAGAAAGGGATCTTTCCTCTTCATTTAAGAAATGTTCAGGAAGGTATGAACACAAGACAAGCTTATGTGAAATTTCTAATAGTCCAAGTTAGCTCTTATAGCAGTAGATTTAGTAAAGGAAAAGGTTTCAGAGTGGAAGCCGTATCAGCAAAAAGAACGAGTAGTAGTTGTGGCACCTTAGAGACTAACCAATTTATATGAGCATAAGCTTTCGTGGGCTAAAACGCACTTCACCGGATGCATGCAGTGGAAAATACAGTAGGAAGATATATTTCAGCCCACGAAAGCTTATGCTCAAATAAATTTGTTAGTCTCTAAGATGCCACAAGTACTCCTCATTCTTAAAGGAAAAGGGATATTTCAGAAGGATAAACTGCGTTGAACAATATTTTCAGTGTCTTATGAACAAAGACTTGCCTTCAATGGTAGAGACATATATCCTTTCTGTGCATCTCATTGTTCTTACAGGAACATATTTACCATGGCCAATTCAAAAACAGACTTGTTAAGTTTTTGTACAAAAGAAGAATTTATGCAGCTTCTCAACATTTTGACAAAATATGAGACGATCTGTGTGATGGGGTATACAAACCCCACATGGGGCTGGAAAGGGCTAAAGGACAGTACTGGGCCCAGGTAGCCCCATCCCTCTAGCCCTGCAGAGCATGCTCCAACCGAAGACATGGTTGAAAATGGAACAACCCAGCTCAGAAGGGAGAGGTGGGAGAGAAAGACAGACCTACCCTGAAGGCTCCTGGCAAAAGGGGCCTAAGAAGCCTCCCTGTGGGAACAGGACTATATGCTGAGGCTGATTGGGGCTGATGGTTTGGCTTCTATTTCCTTTTTCTTATCTGGGACCAGAAGCTGAGGGAGAAAAGCAAAAGTAGGATGTAACCCAGGAAGGGTAACTCAGAGGGCCCCCTCGGAGGCCAAACACTGCTGACCCTCCTAGGGTTCTGGGTCGGAGCCCGGTGGAGTGGGCAGGCCCAGGCTCCCATACTACTGCCATCACAACAGGGTGAGCGTTAACCACTAGGCCATCTAGCCCACAAGGAGCCTATTACAACATCACATACTCATGTCACTATATCCATGACACAGAATATGTGGTAGGGGTTACTGATATTCTCGGTTAGTGTGATTTTTGGAGGAGAAGAGAGGAGGGAGACTAATGCATATTTTTATTCTTATCGTGGCTTGTAAAAAGCTTCAGAGTGTCCTCTTTTGCCTCAGCTCCTGAATCTAAACAAACATGACATCAAGTATGGTAGCACTAGAAGCTCCATCATGTCAATTATTTCCAGAGCAATAATGTAAACACTACAAAAAAAAGGACATTCCACACAGAAGGGTATTAGGGTTTGTGTCAGAAAAGGCTTGACCAAATGCATGTGGAAAAAAAGCTGAAATTGCTACATGTTTGGTAACTTGAGGAGTACATCTACTCAAATTGCTAGGGGACATTTGGAAAAAAAACTGTAGCAGTACTAGTTTCCTTTTTGCAGCAATAAAAAAGAATATTCATAGCTACTTCTTCAAGATCTTGCAAGCTCAAGACAAATCCTTAGTATTACCTCCATTGTCACTAACCACAAGGTGGAACACCCAGCTGTTTTATACTATCGGGAGCAACTGGATGGTCTTCAAAATAAAGATGGCTGCATGTGCCAATGCTGCAATTTGGTCTTCATCACAAAACATTAGAACAACATTACACAGGTAGTATAACATACAGTTACACTAACCAAATCTTAAAAATAACTCTTTATCGATGTACTTAAGTGCTTTGTTGCACTGAGGCTATAGTGACCATCAGGAATTTTGCTTTGAGGATTACATCCCCACTGGCTCAAAAGGGAGAGTCCCCCTGAGTATTCTCAGTACTAAATTCAAATCTCACGAAGGTCTGTTTGTCAAGGAGTTCTGGTGGAAAGAGGAATACTGGAGGGGAAACAGGGACTAGGCCCTTGAGCAAACTTTTCATAGTCAATGAACACTAAGGATCCCTGTTATAAAAGGATGATTTGCTGCTCCAAATGCCAGATGAATTTGAGTAGCCAGAGTAGATCCCGACTTTTAAAAAGATAGTACACAGTCAGGAATACAAGGTAATCAGGGAAACACGGGTTCGATGAGCCTGTTGTAAGCTCATATCTCCATTTTAGTCCAAATTCCATAATATTCAAAACTAAAACTAAACTAACAGTAAGAGCTACACTGAAGTATCTTTCTTCATACTTGCTAGCTGGTGATGAAAAATAAACTACATGAGTGAAACTTTTTCCTTATATTTCTATGAAAACAATTCTAGCACAGTGCTACAAACATAGTAGTGCAGCTTAGAAACTGAAAATATGACAAGTGGTGTCACTTAGGATTCTCACAAATTTTCTCATGGGAAACCCCATTTTGTCTGTGCATCCCATAATCTTTCTAATGTGGTTTTTCCAAAAATCTTGATTTTTTGGTTGTTCCATTGTATATTTGAAAGATACTTTAGAAGCATATCTTCTGTAGTGTTGTATTTTCTCAGCTTTATTTGCCTCACAAAGAACGTTCTGCATTTAAGGAAGGTGCTGAAGCGTAGTCGTTTTTGGCAACAATGGGACTGTAGACAAACATGCATGCACAGTGGTAGCACACATTCACGGTTTATCGTTCTATGTAAGAAGACATCGTCAACACATTTATCTTGTGTTTCTGTCTAAAGGAAGATACAGGACAGTATAGTTTGGGAGCTATGTACCGAGTTAATTACAGCACAGATTTAAAGTATATGCTCATTTTCTTGAAAGGGCCATTCTACTAAATTTAAATGTATGTTCATTCTGTGAAATGAAATATGAATACTTACTCCTTTTATGAGATCTTCACACTTGCAAAGCACTGAACAAATATTAATTAGCCTCACCATATACCTGTGAAGGGGGTAGTTATTGCTAAGGTACTGTTATCACCGTTTTACTGATAAGGAAACTGAAGCCCAGAAAGCTTAACTGACACAGTCAAAGTCACACAGTAAATCAGTGGCAGAGGCAAATTAGAACTTCATCTCCCAGTTCCTACACCTGTGGTCAGCCCTTTAGCTCACACTAGAAAAAAGCATATCAATCAATATTCTGACTGGAAAATCTTTCTGATTCAAGCCATAATTATTAGTGCCTCTTTTTTAGCTAATTTTATATAATAACAGAACCCATTTATCTTTTTCTACCAAACTATATTATACATTTTTTTAAAAAAGCTCAATTTCCTGTTTCTATCTCATTATATGGTACCCTTTTTTCCCCCTCTCTCTTGCTCTCTCCCAAAGTTACAAAATAAAATCCTTTAAACGAACATACTTTGTGTTTGTACAGTACCTAGCACAACTGGACCACATTCTTGGTTAGTGCTTTCAACAGAAATAATAACAACAACCACCACCACCTAGCAGTTTTATATATCATTCTAACAGGCACTCCAAACAAACATCAAATATGCTGTTTTGCAATAAATTATTATTTTGATCACAATTGCAATTTGAAACCAAGATGTAAGAATTTCAGAAAACATACAATTCTGTTGCTACTAGTCTTTTTTCTGAAGGCTGTGGATTCATTTAAGCATTTTTAAAAAATGCTGGTTTTAAGCCTAATGATAGGGTTTGTATTAATACCCTTGTAAATAGTCCATTCCCAATTTGAAGACCAACTGTTTTTCTCCCTTTTCTTTTTTCAACAATTATGCATTTTAAACTGTGATTGCTTATTTAATAGTGTTTGCTGTGTTTAAAGTATTTTGACACAAAAGCTGATAAAAACTAAGAAAATCTAGAGCTAACTCTTTTTACTAAAAACTTAGCATAACAACAATAAGTATCTAACTGAAGAAAAAACAGTTTGAGGTAATGGTTTAAATATTGCATTGTATAAGCAATGGTACATATGACATCTTGACTACTCCATGAAGTGCTGCATACTAAACTTGATTAATATAACAACAAAGGAAAAAAGACTCATCAACTAAAACAGCATACGTACATTAGACACAGTAATCAAATTAGGAAAGAGGCTCACCGTTTTGAGCAGTGAAAGGATACGGGGGAATCAGTGAAGTGCCCAGAGAACTTGGCAGCCTTAACTTGGAGTGTGGCGAGAGCAGTGATGGAGCCGGAAGCATGAGATTTGAGCTGGTCTGTAATAGGAAAGGCAAATCAGAAAGTAAGTTGTAATTTCCTGGGTTACTTACTGATGCAAGAACTGGATGAGAAGTATTTACTTACCATAAATAATTATTAAATTCTAGACAGAATGAGTGTCACATTGAGGGCAAAAGAGCAATTTAAATTGTTTGCTTTTTTGGGGAAACATATTTGGGAACAGAAAGTTGAAAACCTATTGGTGGTTTGAAATGTAAATGAAAGCTTAAATGCTTAACAAAAAATTGAGTAGTGAAAAACTAATAGAATAAAAATCCTCCACAATACAGAAAGAAATATAATGTACAGTTTATATGGGTAATACTCTAATTCATATTGGCCTATCAAACTATTTGTATGCTAGACCAAATTCAGATATGAAAAAGAACACTTAATTTTAGTATTTTAAATTATATTGTGTCTAAAGAGAGTACTTATGAGGAAAGGGTTAAAACTTAGTCATAGAGAAATTTATTCTTTGCAAATTGTGCAACATATTTAGACCAAAACACCAGATACTTCCTTTATGAAGACTACACAAAAGCCATCTGTAGTATACATGCTTATTTCCATAATGACAGATAACATGGCTGAAATCTGATTTGCTATAGAGGTTCTTTGCATACATGCAGTTACCACAAATACAAACCCTTCTCAAATTATTCCTAATGAGTTATCCTAGATAACACATATAAAATATATTAAGACAATTTGAGGCATTTACATGATCAAACAAAACATTTTCTTACAAATTACACCTATTGTCACTGACTGCCTTTGATCATACTGTCAAACTGGTGGGAAAATATAGTCATAAAATATCTACAACAAAATTCATTGAGTTGCCTTTAAATAAAATCAGCGTAATTAGCTGAAATTGTTTTTTTCCCCAGTAACATATATAAAAAGAAAAAACAAAAACAAAAAGCCAAGAAGTATGTTATCAAGCATGTTCACGTAAGGTTTAATCCAAAGCCCACACAGGTCAATGGAAATCTTTCTTGTGACTTCTGTGGGTTTTAGATCAGGCCCTCAAACTTTAGTTGTGGAGAATAATTATGACATATTTAAGCCTACTTCTATTTTATTAGTCTCTAAATTCTATTTAAAGAAATGAAGCCAGTTACAAGAAAGGGCAAGCTTTCACTTGCTTTCACAAGTAGTACAGTGACATAAACACTGGTTGTATAAATTACAATATATGTTCAACAATTCCCTAGGCCTCGATCCTGAAAAAAAAAAATGTATGCTTGAATTTAACTTTGGACTTGTCTATACAAACAATTAATTTGCAGCAAGCTGGGGTGTAAATGTATCTTGCACTAGCCTGCTGTGCATTAAGTGCCCAGGAGGTAGGGACTATCTTTTATTATTTGTCTGTACAGCACCAATGAAAATGGGGCCTTGACTTGGCAACTACATACTACTGTAATAATAAATATTTTCCCAAACAGGCTAATTTGTTTTGCTCAGTTTTGGGTTAAGTGCAACACACAGTGCAAAAAAATCAGACCAACCAATGAACATTATCCAAGAACACTAAAGCATCTGCATTTTTCTGCAGTATGAGAATTCAATTGTGTGTACATTTTAAGTAATAGTCCTGAAATCTAAGCAGAATGAAGACAAGTTCTCCCCTCCTTACAACCTGACTTCTCTCCTACATACACACCTTCTTCTTCTTCCAAATGAGCCATTTCCAATATCATGGATCTTTTTTCTAAACTTCACAAATATTTTGTAAATTCATAACCTAATGTGTGTAATAAATCACACAAACAACAAATAAAACTATTCAAAATTGGGACTTTCTATAATCCCTTGTTTTGTACATCACAGGAAAAATTAAGAGAAATTGATTTAAAAATTTCAGGTATCAGAGATGTTTCAATAACCTGTCTCAGTTGTGGTGACCCTACATGGAATTTTAAAGATGAAGTGAAATATGTCACATGTAAATTTATTTCAGTACAGTATTTAATTCACTTCTCTTTCTAAATTCATGTTTCCTTCAGTATGCCCAACAACCTTTGTACATACCACAATGTATTGCTTTGAAATCCAGGCCACAAGACTGTATTTCTTTAATATATATCCATTCTCCCTTTCAATTTTTCTCTTAAGAAAAATGGTCCTTATTTAAAATACAAACAAAAACACAAAACAATTCATGCCCCCACTCATGTCCTCCCTCCAAAAAACCTTAAAGCAAGGCATTTTTTGTAAAAGATTGACATTCTTTGTTAATTTAAAGGCTTTCATTTGAAAATAAATCTTATAGCAATGGTCCCAATTCTGCAACTGACTCCATGTGGGAAGAGCGCCTACACAGAGCCCCTAGAAGTCAACAGAGCTCTATGCAGGCATAAGAGCTCCCCACATGAAGTAACTGCATAATCAGAGCCTGCATTTTCTTCCACTCCATTAGGTTTCTGATGTTATTTTAAATCCCTTTTTAAAAACTTATTAAATAGTGAAGAACAGCACTACAAAAGGGCTAGAGAAGTCAAATGTGGATACATGATAATGACTTTTTTATTAGTGTTGTTTGAAATTTGAGGTATGAATGTGTTAATAAAATATATTTTAAAAAGCACATTAATACTTATGTATTTTCTCTACTTTTTCTGATAGACAAACATGTAATAATACCTATGGAACAAATAGAGTGAAGCAATCACTATTTTTGAAATGCATGCTGTGGGAAGGAATTGCTAAATACCTTTATAACCACAAGTAAGGTTGGCTAAGATAACCAACACCAATCTACTCATTTTTCACAACATACTTTGCTTGCTTCATGCAAAAACCACAGCTTTATCAAAGACACAGTTTACTACCACCCCTGAGTTGAGTAAAGCTAAAAGTTATAAAACTCAGTTTTTGCAGAGGTAAAAAGAAACCCACAATTTTTGCCAAGTTTAAACAATGCTACTTTGCATTCTCTTTTTTGTGTTAGGGCAGCTCTATGCAAATTATGCAAATATACATTTTTAATGGTACTAGTTTTCATGTTAAAAAAAGTGAACTGCATGTGACAAAAAGAAAAAATACTGCAAGATTTGACAATTTCTTTTTTTCCCTGACAATCAGTTTTATGAACTTTGCAACTGATAAATTAAAATTTCCATATGTACTTGCAAGTCAAATTAAGTTGGCCAGGTCTGTTTTATTTCTTATCCGTTTAGGTTTTCTTTCCAGGTTTTGTGCCTTTAGGACACTATTTTTAAAGAAGACTTTTAAAGTAGTTTTTAAATCATGATTTTGTGGGTCTAAGAAGTTGACAATGCAAACAAGTAAAAAAATTTTTTTACCATCTATTTTGTTCAATAGTAGAATTGATCCATATGCAATAACACTTCCGTATAAATAAAAATATACTGCCACAATTTTTATGTGAATTCTGAATCTCAAGTTTACATATGATATACAATTTTTTTTATTATTTGTATTACAGCAGCACATAGTGTCCTCAGCTGAGATCAGGGCTCCATTGTATTAGGCATTGTACAAACACATAGTAAGAGCTTCCAGTCTAAGTAGACAAGACAGACATAAGGTGGGTGAAATGAATTATCTTCCCTGGTATACAGATCAGGCTTTGAGATACAGAAAGATCACATGACTTTCCTAAAGTCACACAGGAAGTTTATGGTAGAACCAGGAATTGAACAAATCTCTCTCAAGTTCCAGTTCAATGCCTAAACATCAAGGCCATTTCTCCTCTCTGTGTTCTGTTAAAACATAAACATTTCTATAACTATCTGAACTAACAGGCTTCTTCCTTGGAGCCATAAGAACTTGTGATTCCCTTTACGAGGCATACAGAGAAACAGTGATCTTTCTTGGATGAGGTTTAAGACAGATGTTGTTTCTACATAATAAAATGCAGAGGTACTGCCATTTTAATGAGATTGGTCAATGCCATCACCAACAGCAGTGGGAAGAATATTTGTCTTGCTTAATAAAGGCTATGAGGATTATGTGACCTTTGTCTCCCCAGAGGTTGGTTATTTTTCTTCCTATTGAAGGGTATATGGGGGAAAGTACATTACATTTTCTTCACCAATTATGGGATAAAGCTTCCATTGGCTCTCGTCCAGTTTCTTGCAATGAGATATGGCAAACAGAGCATTCAAAGTTGTGTTCCACTTGAACATCTCAATCCAGAGGGGTTTTTGTTTTTAACTGACTCAGTGAACCTTTCCTGTGATTGCATTTCCCCTCCTAACTGATGGGATATGGTGCTCTTGCATACCTCAGGGACTTCCAGACAAATAATGCAAAACCCTATTCCTGGTTCCTCCCTACCTGTTGACAGAAAACACTGTGCCATGATTGTCTGTTTTAATTTAAATACATTTTCAGGAAAGCAAACAAAAGCCTGAAATGCATACACAAAACCCTCTTCCTCCAAGACATTTATTTAGCACCTGCATTTCACCCCACATATAAAAACCTCTCTGAGTGCCATAAGCCAGACCAGGCAGCTTAATAGTGGTCATGTTAAACGAAAAAAAAACCAAAAAAAAAAAACAGAATGACATTTTTGTGAAATTCAATTAGAAATCAGTTTAAGCTAAACCAATATAAGTCAGTGTCCACACAAGAGTCTGTATTGGTTTAATTAAATTGGTTTACAAAAATCACATTTTCAGTTAAACCAGTGCAACTTTCTTATGTAGACAAGGCCTCAATTGCCTTGCCTGCTGATTCATTACAAGACAGCTTGGAATTGGAAGAAAGTTAAAATAAACTACCCAGATTCACACAGAATGAGCTACACATTTCATTTTTGGATGCAAAATATGCAAAATTCTTTCTAGTGGGTTGTTTTGGTTTTTACTTTAATGAGAGGTAATCATTTCAGGTTGTTTCTTTTGTTTCAAGTGAATGTATAAACACGAAAAGAAAACTGTGAAACAGTGTTACCAAAATCTGTAAACATTTTCAATCTTATCTGCTCTTTCTTTACTTTTAATCTACAGCACCTTCA